TAGTTCCTGATTCCTCTCTGCCGTCAGCTCCTGGTGACCTCTGTCTGCCTCTGTCTCTAGGAATCTGCCTGTTATAGGTGTTTCCTGTAAGTGACATGGCACAATGTCTGTCCTTTCATGTCCTGGCTGATGTCATTTGGCATAAAGTTATGAAGGTCACACCCTGTCGCAGTTCTTAGAACTTCTTAGAACTTCTTCCTTTTCACGACTGAATAATAGTCCCTCGGGCGCCCGTGCCACATTTGCTCATCCATGCACCTGTCGATGCCTCTGTCAGTGCTTGGGTTACTCCACCTGTTGGCTGTTATGAACAATGTTACGGTGGTCGCTGGTGTTCATGTCTCCACTTTCAGTTCTTTGGGGTGTGCACCTGGGAGTGGAATAGTGGGTCATGTGTAACGTCAGTCTGTAACGTTCAAGGAACTGCCAAATTGGACCTCCTCTAGTATGAGAGTCAGTGTCACTGGACACCCTAATGAATGAAGATGAACTGACTGGGAAGAAGCACCTTCAAGGCCCACCTGGGAGAACTTTCCGGTGTGTGCCAGACTTGGAGCCGGGCCCAGTGGGTGGTCTGTAACCTGTATGCCCCGGGGCAGAAGAGGTGAAACATGGGTCCCGCTGGGGAGTGTGCCCCACATCCCCTGATCAGCGCTGCTTGGCCACTGTCATGTATTGCCATGTGGGGAAGAGTTTCTGTTACTTCAAAAGAAGAAGGAGATTTAATGTGAAAGATGCTAATTTTTAAGCTTTAGCACCTAATTCAAAGTGGGCAGGTGAAATCAGACATCCCTGGGTTCATTTGGGCTGGCGGTTGACGGGAATGTTGGTGGGGATGGGCTGGTGTCAGCAGTGTGTCGCTGAAGCTCGAAGACGCTCCTTGGCCATCTCTTCTGGGGTGACAGTGCTTGAGGTCAGTAGCTGAGCGTATTAGGGAAGCAGTAAGGCCTTGGGGACCCAGGCTGGGGTGTGGTGCAGTAAAGGAGGAACCTGGACAAGGGGCACAAGGGCAGCTCAGACTTTGGTGTGTCCCGTGGGACAGGACAGAAGCATCCACACAGGGGAGGGGGCAGTTAGGTAAGGAGGAGCACCCCCCCACGTGTACATACCCCCCCATACCACATCACACACACACACACACACACACACACACACACCTTACCACGTCACACATACTCAGGCCCCGCCTGACACTTGGCTCTGCTTGGTCCTGCTGCTCCGAATAAAGGTCAGCCGGGGCTGACCCTGTGAGCAGTCCCCACCTGCAGTGACGTCAGGTCAAACCCACCTGCTGTTTCAGGAGCGTCACCCCTGCTTAGCAACCTCTACTGTCCTGTGTACTTCATCCTGTGTGTCAAGACACTGAGTGTGAAATTGGCTGTGAATATCCTCGTAAAAATACCAGTAGTAAGACTTGGGTGGTGTCACATAAATTCTTTGAGAGCAGAAGAAAATCCGCTCCTGTTTTCTTGAGATGATTTAACTCAGCATAGGACCCCCATAAAAGAGCCCAGGGTCCCACGTCTTTGTGGATCATTTTCCGATTTACCCACTTCTGGTTGCCTAGCAACGCTCAGTGTTAGGACTGAAGCACAACTAATTTGATTATGTACAACGAGGCAGATGTGTCTCAGAAAGCTTTGGTAGGCTAAGGCCAGCTATTTGGTGTTTATTGGGAAAAGAAACACTAAGACCCAGAGACTGTAAGGAATATTTTTAATGTCATGCTGTCTGAGAGGTGTGTTTTTATCCAGGGAATCTTGTTCAGTGAGTGAAATTAGCAGAGAAGTCAGTGATGGTGTCCCGTGGAGGGGCACAGCACACCGGAGGTCTCTGATCTTGTTTGCTGTCTCTGAGGCGGATGTGCTAACATGTTAGCCAAGCAGACAGAGCCCTGGTGATTGGCGTTCCGTGTGAGTATAAAGAATATAGAATCTCACTAATTAGTGGTATAGAAGAATATAGAATCTCACTAATTAGTGAATATAGAATTAGCGAATATAGAGTCTCATGGACCTTATTGCTATTGTTAACTGCACAAACTTAATGTTATTTGCATTTAAATATATGGTCTGTTTTTTATTGCTGAATAATATTCCATTGTGTGTATGTACCACATCTTTTTGATCCAGTCATCTATTTTTGGGCATTTGGGTTGTTTCCAGGTCTTACCTATTATAAATAGTGCTGCAATAAACATAGGGGTACAGGTGGTCTTTTGAATCAATGTTTTTGTCATTTGCAGCAATGTGGATGGAACTGGAAGGAATTATGCTCAGTGAAATAAGCCAGAAGGAAAAAGAAAACTATCGGATGGTTTCACTTACAGCAGGAATATAGGGGAACCAAATAAGACACCAGTGTAAAAAAATAGTAACAGTACAAAACACAACAAAGCAAAAACAGACAATTATAAATCAGAGACATCCTGCAGGGGAGGAGGAGGGAGCAGGATCAGAGGGAGGCAGGGAGGAGCACAGGGGCCTGAGGTGATGGTGCACGGGTGCCTTGGGGAAGGAAACTCTATGGGGACTACACCTGAGGGGGTGGGGGAAGCAAATATTGTTTAAAAGTGAACAATAAGGGCCTCCCCGCTGGCACAACGGTTGAGCGCTGGGTTGCGAAGCTGCCCGCAGACTCTGCAGCACCGGTTCGATCCCCGGCTGCTCCACGGCCACCGGAGGAGGGTCCCGCATGGCACGCAGACCTCTCCTGCCGCCCGCTGCTCCCCTCAGCAGTGTACTTCGGTCCTTCTGCCTGCTCTGTTCCCCGCTCTGGCTCTGGTGAATTCTCTCACCCTCCCGCGCCTCTGACTGTACCCAGTGCTTGTATAAATAAATAAATAAATCTTTAAAAAAAATTAATTAAAAAAAATGTTCTTCTCTCCTGTCACTAGTAAGTGAAAGAAATCTAAGGAAAAGTCCAATTTGCTTTCTTAACAACTGTGCAGAATTTCCATCCTTACCACATTGCTTGGGCTGTTGAATGTTTTTATGACCAATATCTGAGCAAGGGCCTCCCCAGTGGCACAGTGGGTTGAGCGCAGTGCTGGGAGCTGTCCGCAGCCTCTGTAGCATGGGTTCGATTCCCGGCTGGCCAGAGAGATTCCCACATGGCACAGCAGACCTCTCCTATTGCACCCGCTGCTCCCCTCAGCAGTGTATTTCAGTCTGTCTGCCTGTTCTGTTCCCCGCTCTGTCTCTGGTGAATCCTCTCACCCTCTCGTACCTCTGGCCTGTACCCCAGCTAGTGTATAAATAAAAAATAAAAAAATAATTCTTAAAAAAAAAAATCTGAGCAAATAAACTCCTATGGAGAAATTGATCCAAGAGAAAGTAAGACTTTGGAAACAACAGTTTTTTTTAAGCTTTTACAGTCAGACCAAGAGTCTGCAATATGCATTGTTGGCATAATTCGTTGAAAATAATGTTAACCTCATACTAACTCTTCTGAAAATAAACTAATATAAGTTCGGGGAAAGAAGGGAATGCCCTTCCACCCCTCATAAGACAGTAAATCTAAATGCAACAGGCGTCGGTCTCCCTGGTGGCGCAGGGGTTAAAGTCTCAGCACTATCAAGCTATTGCCAGCCACTATGGCCTGAGTTTGATCCCCGGCCAGGGAGCTGACCCACATGGCTCAGCAGACGTCTCCTGTCTCCCCGCTGCTCCCCTCAGCAGTGTATTTCAGTCAATCCACCAGTTCTGCTCCCCACTCTGTCTCTGGTGAATCCTCCCATCCCCCTGCATCTCTGGCCTACACCGTGGTTCTTACATGCATAAATAAATAAAATAAATCTTAAAAAAAATAAACGCAACAGATGATCTTGCTCCCCTTCCAGAAACGACAGGTGGCAGGTTCTGGCTTGCCGAGTCAGCCCTGAGGACAGCAGGACCGGGCAGCAGGACCGGGCAGCAGTCATTTTCTTTGCGCTCACCTGCCTCGGTCAGCTGTCCAGCAGTCTGCTTTCATCTTTTTGGTGTGAAAACAAAAAGTAACAGCAGATAAATGCAAAATTAGTCTCCTTGTAAACAACTGACTTTCAGGCTTAATTTCTAGACCTGCTGTCCCTGCCCCTGCCTTATTCTCTGCACAACCACAAGTCACCCCTTCTACCCCCAGAGCTCACTGGACTCGACTTTAATGGCTAGAATTTTCAATATGAAGGAGTGAAAGAAATAGCAGTAAAGGATTCAGTGTGTTTGGAATGCAGCTAACCCTGCGTGTACGGCAAGAGCCTGCATATTCGTTTGCCTTCACTGGCAAACCTGAATACATTTTGTGCTTCTTGGGATGGAGACCTCTCTGCTTTGCCCCCCTCCCTGGAGAGAGACCTCTGATCCCTCTGGGGTGCTAGAAGAAGTTGGAATTTCATGGGGATTCAAGACTCCTTGTAGCTTCAGGAGGGAGTAGAGAAAGCTCTATCCTGGGGTAGGCACATTCTGCCTTCTCTGGACCTGCACTGAAGAGTGAAGAGGAAGAAGCTTTTGTGCACCCCATTGTTTTTCCTGTGTGAAAATTCATTTCTCCCATGTTGGTGAGTGGTCAGTGCCTGGTGGTGTAGCACTGGTGTCTCTACCAGAGGAGATGGTGGTCCCCGAGGCTGAGAGTGAGTGAGCTCAGTGCATTGTCTTCTGTGACAATTAAATTTCCTTGTTTAACATGCGCAGAGAATTGGAGGTGTAGAGAATTACTAACGGACTCTAGTGCAGAAGGGACTTTGAGACCTGCAGATGGAATGTGGGGTAGAAAGTGTTATCATGAACTGTCCTTATGTCCTTGGATCTTGGTTCTTACAGTGTTTATTTTGATAGCATAAGCATGTTAATATATTTATTGTCATACGGTATAATCATTTAAATGTGTGGAATGTTAACTTAGCTCTTGTTGGTCATGAATCAGGAATTATTTATCTCACCAAAGTGGCATCTTAAGGAAAAGCCAGCATCATCTTACATCGTGTCAATCATGACCTTCTCATTTCTTTCTCCACGGCACAGGAAATCCAGGATCCTCTTAAGCAATGGCTCAGGGATCATGTGGATCCTGAAGGGGTCATAAAATCCAGCAAGCTCTCCCTTAAGTTCGTTTCATCGTTTACATCCGAAATGGAGATCACCCCGTCCGCCATCCCTGTGGTCACTGACCCTGAAGACTTCTCATCGGAAAACTTCAACTTGGAGCTCTACCGGCAACATTTGCAGACAAGGCAACTGGGAAAAGTGATTCTGTTCGCTGAAGTGACCACCACCACGATGAATCTCCTGGAAGGGTAAGCTCTGTGACTGCCCGGAGGATGGGTCGTGTTGGCCATTCTCTCTCCCCAGCATGAGGAGGGGGGAAGGGCGCCGTCTTAGACCGAATCATAGACTTACTGGCCGGGTGGACACACCCTTTCATGGAAGAGTTAAAATGTAGGAAGAGAAATAAAATGGCGCTCTTTGGCCAAAGACTAGTGTTTTGGAGAGTGGGGGTTTCAGCAGGCCTTTTCTGATTGTCCTTGGAAAAAAGAATGTCGTGGAAAAAATAGTTTAACAGGTGGCATCTGGTGCGAGTCATTTTCCTTCTGTGCTGTGGTAGCCAGACTGACATCCAGCTCGAGACGTTTCTCAGGGCGTGAGGACGGCAGATCCGCCTGCCTGGAAGCTGTGTAAATTGCAATCAATTGGGGCTTTATACTCTGGAAGCCTGCTTTGGTATTGCCCTTCCAATGCATTTTTTAAGCACTCTGTCATCCCATTTGCGTGTTGGAAATTTATTGCAAGTTTTCTTCTGTTTCATGGACTTTGATTAAAGGTTAAAAAATGGAAAACAGATGACAGGACTTTTTTTTAACTCCCAAATTAGTCAGTATTAACGAGTAATTTTCTGTGTCGTTTATAAAGTAGGGTTAGAGTGGAAGTAAGAAAAGCATCTTCACTCAACATGGGCCTAAAACTTAAAGAATCAAAGCCTAGAATAAACCCCGATTCACAGTTTCCAGGCAGTTTGGCACGTGGGGCGGCACCATTACACACGTGTCATTTGACATGGGGATTTCACCTTGACCTTTCTCCTTAATAATCATGTCTACAATTTGATAATATGTTGTATGACACAATGAGACTTTCGGATGTCTTGGGTCTCATGCTCCCGGAAGTGGCAGTTGTTCGTGAAGGATGTAGCAGTGCCTTGTGTAGCAGTGCCCGGTGGGGTAAGCAGGGTGTGTTGGAGCAGGACCTGTTGTATGGACCAGAACATTCTAGAGCCGACACGGTATTTGATCCGATATGAACTGTCCTTGTGGAAGCATGTTGTTATGGTAACAAGAGTAATAACAACTAACACGAGGACGTTCATCTTCCAACTCTGCCGTGTGCACTTGACACCGACTTCACTTGGGCTAGGTGACAGGCGGGGCCCTGCTCTGTCTTTGGCTCAAGGCCCCAGAGTTCTATGTGGGGAAGCTTCTGTCTGAGCTGCTCGGGGCTGCAGAGACTTAGATGGCGGGTTGCAGACGGAAAACCCCTCTCATCCGCTCTGGTCAGCTCCAGTGGCGGTCATTTCTCTTTCCCTGGGCTTTGCAAAGCTTGTCCAGGAGGCATTGTGAATTTCCTGTGACAATGTCTGAGCAAGGCCTGGCCTCCAGTGAGAGCTTTGTCTCCACATGGTTGGGGCCAGCGGTGCAGAATGTGAAACTAGTGTTCTGGGCTCCTGGACCCCCATAGCAGGCTGCATTTTCAGATCTGCAGATGTGCATGTGATCCCGGTTTCTAGACACTTAGGATTTGGTTCTGCTGTGCGATAGAGTTCCAAAATTAAAGTGACTCACCCGGGATTGAAGTTTACCTTTCTCTCCTGTGAATGAGGCAAACTGAGATGGGCACAGGGCCGGGGCATCACCCACAGTGTCAGGGACCCAGGTGAGCTGCTCTGTCTCCCTCAGCAAGCAGCCAAGAGGCCACTGCGCGTAAGTTGTCACCAGCCAGCAAGCAGGAGGGGAAAGAAGGCCCTGCCCCTGCAGATTTGGGGGCGTCTATACGGGTCTCTCTTGACTTGTTTCTAGCCCAGAGCCTGGAGGCCCCATGCCTGTGTCCACCTACAAAGAAAACTGGGACATACATGTGGTCTTTGCACCAGGGCCCACGGATCCTCCTGCACACCAGGGCTCTGTGCTGAGGCGAGGGGGCAGACACCAGGGCTCTGTGCTGAGAAGAGGGGGCAGACACCCGGGAATCTGTGGTCTTTGTCTGGACACGCCCTTCCCACCTGTCAGCCTAAGGCCAGACCTGGGGGCTCAGCAGCCACACCTCACGGTGGCCCCCAGGCCATGGGAGCCAAAATCAGAAGCAAAAGTCCTGACTGGATGGGGAGCGCTAGCTTCGTTTCACTGCCGGCTCACGCCCTTGCCAGTGTTTTCTAACGTTCTTGTAAATCGGGGGGACCTGGAGCAGGTGTTCTGAAGGACATCAGGCTTGGTTCTTTGTGGTCACAGCTCACTCCTGCGGCGCTGACCTTGAACCCTCCCCTTTGCCCTCTCTGGGCTGGGGAGCACAGTGCCACCACCTCCACCTCCCATCCCGCCCTGCGATTCCCAGCCGGGTTAGGAAGTCGGTAGCGGAAAGAGCTCAGGGACAAGGGAGCAGAGGAAATTGGGGAGCTGCTTACTTAGAGGTGACTCAGGCAACTGAAGGGCTTCCCCCTCCAAAAATAAGTAAAATCCCTGTGGGCGAGTGCTGCTCTCTGGCATCTGATCCCCCTCGCCCCCGTGCCACAGTCATTTCCTCTGACCTCTGTGTCTGACCTTGAACTGCTTTCCTACTCTGTGGTCAAGGCGGCACCTTTCGGAGGCAGCGCTGGGTTGGTCGACTTCAGGAGCTTTTCTCTTTCCCTCTGCGCTGTTTTCTGGTGCTTTCCCTGTGACGCCTTGGCCCAGCTGCTGGACAGAGGCCCAAGGACCCGCCGGCTTCAGCATTGTCTGCACCAGTGAACTGGACCGTGTCCCAAGGTCAGGTCCTACAGCTGCAGACCCAGGAAGCCACTTGCAGGTGTGAGCTGCTGATGGTGATGGGGCCTAGTCAAGGAGGTACAGACGGGCCGATGCCACCATCACTGCTGGAAAACCACTGCCAAGGGCTCGCTCTGTCCCATGGCTGGGGTTTGACATGTTCTAATTAATCTCCCAGTGAGCAACACCTGACCTATTGCTGTGGGAGGTCGGAAGGCCAGGAGCTTGGAGAAACCGAGTCATTGTGATAATGTAGAATCTTCTATTTGACTTACTGTATATGTTTTTGGATGATTTGTTACTAAGGCTCTGTCAGATAGTGAAGCAACTCACCTGTTTACACTGAGGCCCGCTGCATCCATCTGCATCCTAAGAAACCTGCCAAGGATGGGCTACATTTTATTTGTAAAGACTAGTTTAGATGTCCTTATTTAATACACTTACTTCTTTCATTTGAGTGCTTTGAATTTTTTCAGGCACTGGTTTGCCTTTGTCATTCCTGGAATTAGCCTTTATGGAGTGCCCACTGTATGCCAGGCCCTGTGTTAGGCCCTGGAGAGAGAAGGATGGAGAAGGCACTGTCCTTACCTTCCTGGGCCCGTACCAGCTCTGTGTCTGCTCTTGGTCTGAGCCCTGGCGTCGGGGCAGAAAGGAGAAGTGGACGCAGCAGGTTACTTGACAGGAAGCGCAGTAGGTGTGCCAGTGAATTCTCTTTCTTTTTGAGCAGTTACTGATGCTGTAAAACTCATAGTCTCTAGGGGAAAATGCTGGAACTGAAGACTTTGTCACCAGCTAACCCTGTGACCGGGCCTTGCATTCCTTGGTCATGAGATCTGGCCTTAGACACTCCCCAGGGCCCTTCAACTCGGTGCCGTGACGGAAGGATCGTCAGGACCCCCATCCCACCAGCCTCTCTGTTTCTCAGCCTGCAAGGCCTTCTGATGGCCAGACTGATCTTGCGGGAACCTCAGTGGGAGACAGTGCCTTCCAGCAAAAAGGAAGCAGGCAAAGACCCACCCCACAAAATCTCTTTTCAAAAAGATTTTGGGAACAATGGCATCGGGAGAACAGCCGCATCGTTCCAGAAAGAGCGTTTTGCTCCCAGCATTTGGGGCCACTCTCCCATTCTTCAGCTCATCCTTACATACGTGTCTAGTCAAGTCCTCTCACATCTTTTTTGTCCCCTTCTGATTCTCCCCTCTAACCCACCCTACTCGCCACCCTCCTCCCCTGGAGCTGGCCTGAGAGGCCCGAGATTGGGCTGGAACTAATTTAATGGCTGAGTGACCTCACAGTGGTGAAACAGCCGGATCCTGCTAGGGGTCTTTGTCTACATTTCCACCCTGGCTGGTAGCATGCCAGTCAAGAGTCAAGCTCGAGACACAGGTGGAAGCGATTAGACCTGTCATAAAGTTTGAAAAATTGATTCTGGAGGCGAGGTGAATAGATTGAACTTGACAGTGTTGTCCTAAAGATTCTAAGGGAAAATTCTGTAGTTTAATTTGAAATCCCTTGATTATTCATTAGCTTTCCAGATGGCTTTTGTTGATGTTTTACATTTTAATGCCTGTATTGTGTTGTTGGTGTTCTCTTAATGTTCACATAGGTAATGAGCAGAGAATAAATACACCGGTAAGTGTCCCAAATTAATGGGATCTTAACGTAATTGTGAAATAAAGGGTTTTTAAGAAGTTGATTGCTTTGGAATAATTAGCCTGAGCTTTCTTATGGCCAATTGAGTACTTTTAAAGTGAAAATGATTGGAGAACTTTTAAGAGGCCTTCATTTTAATGTTTACCTCTAAATTACGGTTTAGAATATAACCCGGGCCTTTGACTCCGGTCATGACTGAAAGGTTATTCTAACAAGCTCGCCATCAGATGCTTTTTTTAAACCCCAGTTCAATACCTGATAAGTTAACCTTTCCCATGCCAGGCTCTTGGAATGGAATGAAGTGGCCTGTGATTTTCCAGAGCTGCCTCCATGTTAATTTTCTAGCATGTCTGTTTTTACAGTTTGTCCGGGTCAGCCTGCTGTGGTGCCTGGCCTCGAGGATGGCTGTGCAGAGCCTCCTTAGAAGCAATTTCATTAGACTTGGACCTGTGTGCCTCTGTCCACGCTGGGGGCGCTGAAATGTCACAGGCAGCTCTGCACCTGTGGGAGATATGGCCATGATATGGGGGTTTTCTTGGGGTTTTCTGGATGGAGCTGGTAAGCGTGTGCGGTGCATGCGTGTCTCTGTGTGTGTCTGTGTGTGTGTGTGTGTGTGTGTTAACCCGCTTAGC